ATAAATAGATGTATATTTGGTGTGTCCATAGAGGAAGTGAGTAAGGGTCTTCCTACATCACCGGTTTGGACCTAAAGTCGCATGTATTACTTTGACAACCCCAAACCTTAACTACTAATAGCTTATTGTTGACCCAGAAGCCTTATGGATAACATAGAGAGTCGATCAACATGTATTTTGTATGTTTTATGTATTATATACTATTTTATATACTATATTATTACAACAAAACTAGAGAAAGGTAAATGTCATGAAAATCTTGAGAAAATACATTTATAGTACTATATTGTAAAAAATTGATGTGTAGGTGGACCCCCACAATTCACACCTATGTTGTTCAAGGGTCAAGGGTACTTAAATTTTATTCACTGCTTCTAACATAATTCTTGACACATAACACAAAAATATTTGTTAATTAATGGATCTCTCATTATTCCTTATCTCTAATAAATCTTCTCCTCACTTTTATTTTTATTTTTTTTAATTTTTTTAAATTTATTTATGATAGGCACACAGTGAGAGAGAGAGGCAGAGACACAGGCAGAGGGAGAAGCAGGCTCCATGCACCGGGAGCCCGACGTGGGATTCGATCCCGGATCTCCAGGATCGTGCCCCGGGCCAAAGGCAGGCGCTAAACCGCTGCACCACCCAGGGATCCCTTCTCCTCACTTTTAAATCTAATTTCTACCCCGTCTAGATCTATAAACATCATTCCCTTTTATTTTACTTGGCCTCTGGAGTCTTCCTATAGCCCCATAATATACCTTTTGAATGGCATGTAAACTAACAACCTACTATTTACTACTACAAAAGTTAAAAATCCTGGCTTGGCCACTTACTATCAGATGACACTAGGGAAACTGTTGAACATCTCCATGTCCTAGTTTTTTTTACTATAAAATAATAGAAACAATTATATATAGATATATATATCTACATAGATTAGTTCAAATAATGACGTTCTTAGAACTTTTGGCACAGAGCAAGGACTCAAGAGATGCTAGCCTTTTAATCTCAACTATTTTCATCCAAAGATGATCCAACTATTCATTATCACTTGTTTTTTGTCTTTGTTTTTTTGTCTAGACTGCATTATAATAATGGAAAAGTCACATTTCTCTACAAATTAAGTGTCCTCTATTATGACTTTATTGTCTTCTGAGCTCTGAGTATCTAAAAACATCAAAATTTGCTTCAAATATTTTCTGTTCGCCTTGATTTCAAACCAAGCTCTGGAGCTTATATACTCAGCAGATAAATCTCATGTACTTAAGACCTGTATCTTAGTGTGTTGCTGTTTCCTCAGCCCAGAGTTCTGTAGGCATTATTTCCTTTAACCTCACTTTTATATATTTCTCCCTAGCTTCGTACATTTTGTTCATTTATCTAATAGCAGAAAAATAGATTCCTTTCACATTAACCCTTCCCTTTGATCTCCCCAACTATTCCCAATAAATAGGTTGGATAAAGGGATCTTTTATCAGTTTCTCCTTCTCTATTTCTTTCGCTCAGCCTGTCACTGGTTATTCTTTAAACTTCTTTGCAGCCACACAATTCCTGAAAACAGGTGGTTTAAATGTAGTGCCTCTCTACATCTTCCCATTCTATTTAGCACAAATACCAGCAGACCCCAAAACTTTTTATATCACATATGATATGATCTTATTATTTTCTATCAACACAATTTTTACGCCAACTGCAGGGTGAACAGAACTGACCTCTTTAACAAATGAAGAACCACCATTTTAGTAAATACTATGCACTACATACTGCTCTTTGCATATGTTAACTCATTGAATCTTCACAATAATCCTGTGAGATAAAATATTTTCACTTTATAAATAAGGATATTGCAACTTTGCTAATTTCTCTCTTATTAATTTATTTATTATCTTGGAATCATTAACTTTCTCTCAGTAGCCCAGGTATAAGCTGAAACTCCTCCATGGGCTAATCAATCCCAATTGATTGATTGGATCGCTCTTTGATTCACGGTCTCCACACTAGGGACACTGTTTTGTGGGAAGTCACCAAAGACCCAAGCACCAATTACTTCTTCACTGTTCACCCCTTGGATTTTCTATGGGATTTGGTTCTGTTTATTCCTTGCACATTATAATTTTCTTTCCATCTAGATATGGACACCGTTGCCTTCATTTCCTTTATATTTTCAGTTCTAGGTTCTTAACACACCACCTCCCCTCTCCTGTGCATCATATGTAAACAAAGTCTTATTTCTCCTATATTCAAAATAATGCACTTTTTTGATTCTGTATCCCCTTCATAAACACTACCCTACTTTGCTTTTTCATCCACTCAGAAGTCTGTGTGTACTATATCCATTTTCAAATCTCTCACTCACTCTCCAAACTAATGAAAGCTCAACCCTACAACAGCACTTCATTGAAACTGCTCTTTCCAAGACCAACAATAATCTCTAATTACAAATCCAATAAAACCTATTCAGTTCCTTTCTGATGTGACTTTCTGAATGTTTCATTGGTACTTTAAATTCTGTAGGCTTGAACATTGCCTCTTACCTCCTACTCACCTCGCTTTTTCCTAGGTTTTTCTGTCATATTTAACTGAACCTCAGTTATCCCATTGCAGTAGGCTTAGGACCCTCTGGACTTTTCTTCCATGTCTTCCTTTCAGTCATACTATCAGTCACCCAATTCGTCACTTCCACCTTGGGTAAAACCCTTCATTTGTGGCTCTTAACCCTGGATGCTCATTAGAATCACTGGGGGAGCTTTTAAAAAAATAATCAGTCTAGGATTAGGGCCTGGGCACAAGGAAGAGCATATCAGAGAGTAGGGTCAAGCAAGGGTAATTGTTAGGATCCTCAAGTAATTTAAATTGCAACTGGAATTGATATCCATAGTTTCAGATTCTTCTCAGTGTAATAGTCTAAGCTCAGGCCTTATTCCCACTCCCCCAGGTTATTTTAGTCCTCTGTTAATTTCTCGTTGAGTCCATAATCTCTCTTCTTTAAGATTTTCAATCCCATTTTTGCTAAAATCCATAAAACCACATTATGGACATGTACTGTCCTGCTCACCTAACTTCTAAAGTTCAAGAATGAAGTTCAGTCATTTCCAGAAAAATGTTTAGGACATAGTGCATCCTATTTAGTAATTTGCAACATATTGAAAACAGGTATGAAAAAAATCAAAGCAAATATGAAATACTTAAAAATCTTTTGTGTGCCCAACTTTCCCATAGGTTAGTATAGTGCCGTGCCTACGTAGAGTATTGGAAAATTACCTAGTGCACTGATTTTAAAAGTATTTTAAAGGTGAAACTTCAGTTAACCCCAAAATGTGATCCAGCCATATAGAGGCAGTAGGAATTCAGTAACTGTCAGTTAAGTGCCAGATATTTGTAATGTCTACATTACTTTTCAGTCTCTCACAGTGCAAATAAAAACAATGAAGAAATCTGGTACCTCTACTCTTCTTTCAAAGTATTTATATAAAAGAGAAAAAGAAGACAAACCCTTACCTTGATAAAACATAGTAATGTCCTACTCTGTGGGTATGATCTCTATGTGGGTAAGGGGAGTGGGAAGCTGCCCAGTGCATGTCTCCTCTGACTTTTCTGTTTCCCCTAGCAGAGTGTCTGCTATCATTCTAAGTCACTCAAAGGAAGAAACGGCAGGATGATGAAAAATACTATTTGATACCTTTGCATATATGGCTCTTTCAGATAGATCTATCGCCTCTGATTTGAGAAAATAAAACTTTAGAAAGATCAAGTCCCATTTAATCATTGTGCTATTAGCTATTGTGTATCATCAAAAGTCACAACCCAATTGTACAGCATTGTGTAGTAGCACAGGACTTGCTGAGGAGATTAAAGAACAGGCTCAACTCCCTTTCTATTTCAACCTTAGATACAGATTCTCAGTTCTCCTCCTACCCGTTAAAGTCAAAAGTAGGTTTGAAATCACATGTGGTACTCTCTGCCATTAAAACTAGAAGTTTCCAGTAGGTTAAGGCAACAAGAGTATAGAAAAATAAAGCTAAAGGATGTTATCCTTAAAATAGAGACCTTGGAAAAAGTAATTACACATCAGTCATTCATTGGCCATGTCCTTCTATTCTAATATACAGCACAGTAACGTTTTACCAATTGGAAAGGATACAATAGGGATCCCTGGGTGGCGCAGCGGTTTGGCGCCTGCCTTTGGCCCGGGGCGCGATCCTGGAGACTCGGGATCGAGTCCCACGTCGGGCTCCCGGTGCATGGAGCCTGCTTCTCCCTCTGCCTGTGTCTCTGTCTCTCTCTCTGTCTCTCTCTCTGTGTGACTACCATAAAAAAATAAAAAAAATTTAAAAAAAAAAAAAAAAAAAAAAAAAAAAAAAAAAAAGGAAAGGATACAATAGAGCTCGCTCTCCTTCGGTCTCTTACACACAGTACATGTGAAACTGGAAAATCTGAGTCAGGTCTGTATTTGATTTAATAGTATTGTACCAATGTCAGTGTCTTGATTTGATAAGATTTGGTCACTGGAGGACAATGGGAAAAGAGCACACAGAAGTTCTCCCCTCTTTGTAACTTCTTGTGGGTTTTAAATTATTTTTAAGAAGTGTGAAAGCTGAGTACCATATCTGATACTTTCATTAACATTTCCATATGTAATGAATTTCAAAGGATAGGCAGCATATTTAACAATTTGTATAATAAAGGGAATTTTGCATATTGCTAGCAAACATCCATCAGTTGTACTCATAGTCAAGATGTGGGCAAATAGCACAAGTGTAAATATATCTCTTTCAATTGTTTCCTAGCAAACAAGCAAATCGAGTATTGGAACCTTGTGTAAATGACAAGAGTTGCCATGGATTTCTTTAAAAGGAGATTGAAAAATTTATGTCAGCTTCCCCATGAATTCAGAGGTTTTCCTGTAGAGTAACTGACTTTTAAAATAAAACACCAGAAAACCAATTCTCCAAATGTAACTCATGAAAGAGAGTCCATTTTATATCCCAATTTTATTTACCTTTTCTGAATAGTCACAACATTTATCTACTGGGGATAATCTAGTTAGTCTATTTGAAATTCCATTTATTTTTTTCTATTGATATGCATGTGTTACACTTGTATACAATACAGAATTTCCAGTGTTGTTTTAAAGGACTCAGGTAAAAAAAAAAATGAGAAGCATGATCTACAATTTCAAACAAACCTAGGACAAATTCATAATTTCCAAAATAGTATAGTTTTCTATTTTGTTCCAAAGAAATGAATGATGTTACCATTGATGCAAAAATTCCAGCACAACTGTTATTTTTTTCTTTCTGAATTCATACAGTCTTGAACTATTACAGAATCCACTCAGAGCCATCTAGTTTTATGTATAATGAAAATGGAGGGAGGAAGTCATCTCATTTCATGGACTTGTGGGGCAGTATACTTTGGTTCAGTGTCAAAAGTATACTTTACAAATTTAACTTTTAACAAATTTTACACTTGTAATTTGCCCAGAAGACATCCTGGGTAATGTACTGGTCTTTGAAATTTGTTACCAACTAACAGACCAAAACTCTCTAAGGTATGTCAGCTTCCATCATGGAAACCAACAAAGACTTAATTGACCATGTCAATGAGTTCTAAAAATATGAAAGATGGCCACATTTTCTCTAACATAATGGAACTTCTAATAAGACAATTTATGAAAGACCTTCCTATTAGGCTAAGATGAGTAAACCAAGAAGTCTCCCCCATTACATCCCTTCAACTATACACTTACACAATAGGGTTACAGAATGGCTATGTATTTTCAATTCTTCTCTCCCTTCACATAACAAATGAAATAAAATAAATGTAGTATAAAATTATACATTCTGTAATAACTTAGGAAAAAAGTACATACATGTTTAAGGCCTTTAAATATTTGTAAGACTATCCTATAGAACTGAAAAACAAAAATGTTAAAATGACTACAAAAATGTGGACAGAAACTGATCTAAGAAATTGTTTGAATGGGACAACTATAAGCAAATATTTATAAATTTTATACCAAGGAAAATGAACAATTCTATTAACAGACTGAACAAATATATAAGCATCCAAACAGTCACTGGGAGCGAGCAAGGGACAGTCTATTAAAATGGTAGAAAGGACAGTTAAAAAAAAATTACTAGAAGAAATCTTAAGTGAATAACTCTCAAGCTAAGAAATCAGAAACCCACATGCATTCCTGGCGATTTTTTTGAAACCAAAGGCTACCTACATACTTGACTGCTCACTGCTGATTTCTGTAAAGGGAAAAAGTAAATATAAACATGAAAGAAAAAGCCCACTTAAAAAAAAACCCACAAAAACCAAAAGGGAGAGTACTCCAGAAGTACAAACTAGCATATAATGAAAATGGAAATTCAGTTCTAACTACTACCTATGTAACTGACAGAGAGCTGTAGTAGTATGTTAGCCTTGGGGCAACATGTCAGCTTGTCTATACATTCTTATATGATTGATGTATTCAGATAACTATTACTTGCCAACAATAATTATTATCAATGGATATATATTTCCATTCCCTTAACAAAAGCAATGTTAAGATGTTAAAACATGTAGGCTTTCATAGCTCCAAGATTAAGATACAAATAAAATGGTCTCAGTCTACACCATGCCAGAGGAGAAGTTCGCAAAGGAAATGTCAATAAAGCCAGGTGCAGTCCCACCAGCCAATGAACACAGGACTGGACCCAGGAACATATCCATGGCAGGAGGCCAGTGCACTTGGCAGACTTTCAGAAACAAGAAAAGCAGTCACATTTGAAGCCAAGAGCCCAAAAGGTGAGTGTCTCTGACATCACCGGGAAACACCAACTCTTCAGATGGCAACTCCAAATTCTCTTAGCAAGTGCAATTTTACAAGTTGAACGCAGTTCAAATCTGACAAAATCTTCATGACATAGAAGTTCATGTCTGACTTTTTAAAAGTCTTGGTTTCAAGAAGAGGCCAATTATGAGCCATGAAATCCTTTGGAAGTAAGACTCTGCAGTGCCTCTTGTGAGCGGTATAAAAATCTCCCTTCAAGATCACCTCAGGAATTAAGTTTCTGTGCATATGTTCGATGTAACCAGGTGTGAGGATCACTTGGTTTATCCTTTGTTAATGGGTTACCTACAAAGGAAGAAGAAAAGATAATCATTTTATAACAGGCTGTATGATCTTAAAACTCCAAATACAATTTAGTATTAGAAGAATTCAAAATGTTGGTATTTGGTTTTTTTTTTAAGATTTTATTTGTTTATTCATGAGAGACAGAAAGAGAGAGGCAGAGACACAGGCAGAGGGAGAAGCAGGCTCCATGCAGGGAGCCCAATGTGGGACTCGATCCTGGGTCTCCAGGATCACACCCTGGGCTGAAGGCGCTAAACCGCTGAACCACCCGGTCTGCCCAGTGGTATTTGTTTTATCAAATGTTGAATTTTAAAGGACTACCAGATTCCAGTGTTGCCACTTTAGAAAAGACATCAGTGTTCTCTATCCTTTCACGGTATTTTTAGAGCTACTTGCACAACTATCCAACAAATGACTACAACTATGACCAGGAAAATCTTGTGATGCTACCTGTCTCAAATCCAAACGATGGTTCTGGAATCTTTGTCCTTTGTACAGGCATGGAAGACATAATCCAGAGATCATAAAGACATTATGCCAGACTTCAGTAAAGAAAGACCTTTGTTCATGGGAATACAATCAGACCCCATCTTCAAGAAAGTCCTTGGGCATTGGCTCCATAAAACCCATTCTTGAAATAGTTTAAAACTTGAGTGCTTATTTGACTCAATTATATTTTAGAAAAATTATTCATGAGGGAAAAAAAGTGGGGAGAAAAACAATGCACAATATTTTACCAAGGTTTAAATATGTTCAAAAATTCTCAAAAAATTGATTAGTATTAATGCTATTATAAATATTATTAAGGGAGATTATCACTGGCTTTTTACACCTACTCAAGTCCAAAGAATGTGTATGGGAAAAAATAGTTACCCTCTAGAATACCTGATACCTTCTATCTATATATACATACAAGTAGATGATAGATGGCTATAGAGAAAATTTCTGCTGCACCAGTGAATTCCTAGGTATCCTCTAAAGTCAAGGTACTTAGAGTTGCATGACTATTCTTGTCAAGAAGTGGTTACAACAAAAAGTGAATTCTTGAAAGTTACTGTGGACACTTTGGTTTTATTCCATTAAATCATATAATTACTCATCCTTTCATAAAACATATACAGAAAGGCTGTTTTTGTTTTTTTGATCAATTATGAAAAAGAAACATTAAGCAAAATAATCTAGCTCCGGCTCTACTACAGCTAGTCTCAAATTATACTACAAAAGGAAGCTATACATTCAAAGAAAAGTTGTTTCTGCATGGAGGCAACCATCTCATTTCTGTCTCTTTGGTCAGCTGTCCTGTCCAAGGAAGGAGCCTCTGCTTACATATTTATAAAGCTTCTTACTCCCATACACAAATTCCTCCCCTGGGAGGAATGGAACTGAGGATGGAAGGATACAAATACAGCAAGGGCCTGCTCACCCCCAGAGATGCTGGGAGCAGGGGCTCTCTTAGATAGGGTAGCAGTCTCATTTTCAATTTGTCTTCCTCTTAGTGGTCATTTTATAGATGTTCTCTGAATGGCTCCCAGTCTGAGGGTTAGCGCTAAGAACAACGTGGAGAGTAAATATGAATGTTTTGACAGACGTTATATCCCAGGTTGCCCATAGAGATAGCTGATCATTGTGGAAAAAACAAAAATTTTATGATAAACTTTCTTGATGCATACTGACTTAACCTAATCTTTGACTGCCATTGCCTGAGCAAGATCCCCTTGCCTTTTCTGAAGATTCTCCTCTTAGTAGGAAAACTTATAAATATTATAAGGGACTATATTTCCAAAACTATGCTAGGTAAAGAGAGGAACTGAGAAAGCACAAATGGGTTAGCCCCGGCAAGGACTCAGCATAGGCAACTGGAAGGACATGGTGCAGTGATCCCACAAGAGCCAGTGGCCTGTCCTCCTGTGTCATTTGGAGCCCCGATTCTAAGTAATCTCTTTGTGGGTACAGTAGATGCATTCTTCTATCTTTATTCCAAGCTAAATATTTCATCCTGCTAGTTTATATAAAGCTGGGGAGGAATTCTCTCAACTATTCATATATTAAAGCTTTGTTTTTATGAAATTTTTAAAAAGACACATTTACAGTACAACACCAAAGTTTTATATTATAGAACACATTTTTCCTCCATCTCAGTAAACATACATGTATACACATAAACACAATGCCTATCCTAAGCGTATCACAAACCTACATTTTTTATGCTATCACCTAAAATAATTGCCAGAAAATAGAAAGTTAAAAAAGACTAAAAGAATTCTCTAAATAAGCATAGGTCAAAACTTGAGTAAATGACTTCTTATTCCAACTTTATACAATATTCCCAGTTTATTAATCCTAAAAATATCCTAGCACATTTTATGAGATGAAGATAGGCCTTCAGTGGACTATTTTAGATTTCATTTTTGTAAATTACTCCGATCAATTCATTGTGGTTTGGCATGTGGAGTTCTAGATTAAGGTCGGTGTGGCAGTAATAGCAGTCACAGTGGAAAGGGGATAGTCCTGTTATCTTCACAGGGGTTGCTGTGAGGCTCAACTATGATAATGTCTGTGAAAACACTTATATATAATAAAGGTTTTACAAGTTTTTTTCGATGCACAAATCTTTAACAAGAGAACCACTAAAAAGTACGAGAGGGCCACACGAACAGATATTTAGTCAAAGTAGAGAACTACTCTTAAAGAATTCAAACAAAGGCTAAGTAATCATTTGTCCTTTTTTCTTTTTTTTTTTTTTTTTCACTTGTCCTTTTCAATGTGATACGGATATGAGCATGTATGGGCCTGTGTCAGCACCCTCCCTGACAACCTCCACCCTTGTATCAAATGAAATGGCAAAACCAAAGACTTGAAAACATAAGGATGATTCTGAACGTAGGTACATTATCACCAATGTAATTCACCTAATACAGAAGCAGCAGCAATATTGAAGATGAAATTGTCTAAAATGTAACGCAAAAATAACAAACCTGCCTTTTTTTTTTTTTTTTTTAACCTGCCTATTGAGTTCAAGTTACTCAAGTCAAAATTCTGGAATGCTACTCGGAAAAAAAGCACCATTTTCTCCTTTCCTGATATGCAAGGGTTGTTTAAGTGATATGTATACACTCTAACGTTTAAAAATGTTGCTCTCATCTAAACGTGATTTTTAATATACCACATTAAGCACTGCCTTATTTTTAGAACTTAGATATCACTCTCTTTCACTCAAGCCATATCTTTTGGAGGAGGCCAAATAGCAAAAAGTGTTAGCTTGTAAAGACGATTTTCAGCAAGTTTTCAGTAACTAAAAGCAGGAGGTTGCCATAAAGCCATCTTTACAAGATAGGAAAAGCATTTGTTACCACGAATGTACTGTCTTTTGGTTCTGAGGGCAGTAGATATAAAATACTGCATGAGAAAGAGAGAGAAATGGTCCTATGATTATAGTTGTGCCTGGAGCTTCATACGTTTTAATCACCACCTCAGTGAATTCGCCTTTCCAAAGGCAGTGTGTCACACAGCTGTTCCTTTTTATGTAAATCTTATTTGTGTGTGCTGCACACCAGTCAATTCAACAAGTAAAAATACTTGACAACTGAACACATGCAAAAGGTAATCAGAATGATGGCAGCTTTTCTAGTTAGTAGCTCAAAGCTATCTTGGTAATGACCCACAAGGATGGCGCTACCCTGCTAATATTAAACAAAAAGCAAGAATTCTTTCAGAATTATCCCCTTATTTTAGCCCATCCATTTATTTCTCCCAGTCTAACAAATCTATTATAGTATCCTGATTTGATTTCTCAAAAATTTGTGCTAAAATCACAACCCTTAAGTCTGTTCATCAATTTAATTAGAGAAAACCAAACGAGGTAATGGCATACATGACCTTAGTTAAATGTGAAATGAAATCAACTATTTTATACTGGTTTTATTTTATACTTTGAACATTATGAAGTATCCTTGCCTATCTTCTAGTTAAGATAAATTAGAAAGGCTAAAAAGGAAATTCAAGACTCTATCTTGTCCCCAAGTGTAATAGATGATTTTATGAAGTTCTTAAAATAATTACATTCATGGAGTCAGTAATTCCCTTTTCCCCCACTCAAGCCCTGCTGCCTGAGTTATCAGTGGGAGGCAACACATTATGATGAGAGGCATTGACAGTGTGGGTGGGCTCCGCCGGCACGCAGCCTGAGTTCAGATCTCTTCCTTAGCATGTTCTCACACTGTGGGGCTGAGTAAGTTATCTGAACTCCCTAAGCCTAGTCTTCCCCAAGGGTAATACGAGAATGGTGTTATTAGACCCCATGCCTTTGCTATTGTGGCTAAATCAGATAATCCTTCGAAAGTGTCCAGGTAAATGTTTTTTAAATAATAACTGGTGGTAGTAGCAGTAATTCCCAAACACTACACAAAAGGCTATACCTAGGATAAGTATTGGGGTGGGGGGGGGCATTACTGCTTGTTTCTTTATAAGTATTGATTTAATTGTCAGTGTCTTATAGAAACTGATCCTGCAATTATTCATTTCATATTCTTACTAATCATAAACATCCTTTCAATCAAGAGGAAAGCACCTCTTTTTGGGCCTACTTTAGGAGTGAGACTCTTTTCAGATTAAGGGATATAGAGTAGTGGTTAAAAAGAATGTACCTGAAGCCAGTTCTGCTGATAACTCAGTGTGTGACCTTGAGTAAAACAGGATAGTATCAGTACCTATATCATAGGGTTGTATGAGCTGAAGAGCAAATAAGTTAGTAGGTCAAGTGCTTAGAACAGTGCTAGGTATGTAATAAACACTATGTAAATGGCAACTATTATTCATATATAAACATATATGTGTGTATATATATATAAATATGTATATTTATATATATATATATATATATGCCTGGAGAGCTAGAAATGTGTGTACACACACACACACACATTTCTAGCCCTCTGAATACACTGAATTCCTAGGCTTTGCCCCTTAATTTTTCTGATCATATATTACTGGTGTTTATGGAT